CTTAACTTACTGAGGCGCCTTTTAAAAAATAAAACCGTGACGGTCCAATGAGGTCAAAACGGACAATATCTAAGATGCGGTGACCCTAACGATGGCCGTAGACTTACGGTAGGAACAAACATTTGGCGCTAGAATGTTGTCCCTTAGCATCGATTGGGGGATTTGTTCCGGTTTGCCTAAAAGTTCCACATCGCATCGACTGGGGGGCTACATTTGACGCTAGGATGTTGCCCCTTAGCATCGACTTAGGGGCTTGTTCCGGTTTGTCTAAAAGTCTCACATCGCTTAAGAATCGAGGCTAAGAATAGTTTATAAACATCCTCCCTCCTTAACTCACTAAAGTGCTTTTTAAAGGACAAAACCGTGACGGCCCAACGAGTGGCAAAGCTGATAATACCTTAAATGCGGTGACCCTAACGATAACAAAGGACTTACAGTAAGAACATTTACCATTTTAATCTATCTAAAATTTTAAAAATACATTATCGTTTACCTTTTATTTTACATATAATACTTGTATATATAAACAACAAAGCAACTCTCACAAACAACTCAAATGTACCAAAAAAAAAAAAAAAACACTCGTAATTTAAAGATTCATTGATGCAACGTGGAAAATGTTTGAAATAGTAATCGTGACAAGAAATAAACAATCGAGGACCCCACTAAGAAACAAAGTATGACCAGGACAAATTAAGACGACTTCGGGTCAATATAAAACTTCTATCCACAGATCATTTTTATAATATCTTTGCTTTTGGTCTTGTTATTATGTTATTATTATTAAATATATGCAACCATTGTGAAAGTGAAGGTTCTTTTTGCACAAATTCAACAGGGCATGCACACTTCAACTTCCTTTTAAAATTAAATTTAATTACCTTCTCTTCACAAGATGAAAAGAAACAAATTCTTAGTTACCCGTCACTATAAAAATAATTCATCTATATTAAGTAACATATTTTAAGTTTATAGATTTTTACGCTATAAACTAATATTTAAAATAACTTTAAATATAATTTTGAAGAAATTATTCCAAAAATTAAAATATTACCGTATATAACAATTTATAATTAAAATGTTAATTTAAAGTAAGGCAATAAGCTTAGGTGCGATTAGATGTAGACTGTAATCAGTAGATATTAATGAAAATAAAGTAGGGTGTGAAAAAAAAAATCGTAGAGAGAGACGTCGTGGATATAAGTGAATCCACAAGTTTATTTGAATTTTGATGTATAATGAATAATTTAGTGCAGATTTTTCAACTTCCAAGTTCCAAGGCGGGCTTGACTTTGAAATTAGAATTCTATCGAGAATTCACCGACATACAGTATATAATTCACGTCAACTAGTATATTCTATTCTTTTAACTTTTTATCACGCGCGCACACCCAACACAGATTCTCTTTTTTCAGCCCTTATATTTTTGCTATCCCATATGTATCACAAGATACTCTTAATCTATTGTTTTTATTACTCTATTATTTAATAAGAATTTCTCATCAATAATAAAATTGTTTGAAGGTTATACTTGTTATAATTTGTGATTGCTATCTGTACATGTATTATTTTATCCTTAAATTTGTTTACAATATAATTAAGAATTTTCTTTTTAATTTTGTATTTCTTTTTATATACTAAAAGTCACTAATCAGATTTTTAAACAAAAATCATTCACACACAAAGTTGATTAATACTTTGTTTTAGTAATATATTTAAAAATTATCACATTGTATTATAATACTACAATTATTTTCATTATAATATGATGAAATAATATTTTATTATCATTTGTGTCCATTTTATTATTACTCCCGGTTCTTTTTATAAAAAACTGATAATCATTTATTTCTTATAAAAATGGACTAGAAAAGGAATATAATTTTACTGAATTTAATTATTCAGAAATACTAATTAAGTCCAGTAATTTAATCTTTTAAAGATAAGTAATATCAAACGTGTTTTAAACATTTAAAAAACTTATGGTTTTATACTCGTATTATAAGTGTTTGTATTATTTTATTTCATTTATATTAATTATTGTGAAGTTAGTCAATTATAATATAACTATAGTAATATTGTTTAAATTAACTATCGTATATTTTAATAAATAAAGTGTTAGTATACTTTAAACCATTTTAATTTTTTTTATAAATTATAATTTAATTATATATATA